AATACAATAATTAAATTAAATAAAGGCCTTTTCAATGAGTCGCACGGTTGAAATTACGTAAGCAGGGGCCACGTGTCAATGTGTAGGAGGATTACTATTTGGCAAAAAGGATCACTATTAGTTCATCGTGTAGGAGTTTGCTTTTGCAGTTTATTAGAGTTTGTTTGTTAAGAAAAAAATAATACTAGAAGGGCTAAATTTATATACTAAATTAATTATTGTAAGACTTAATTAGCTTGTGAATTAGTGATTTTTGCATATCATGTTTTGTCGAATATCTGATGTAGTAAATGCACGTGCCAACTCTCAACATATCTTATAATTCGTAAAATGCTCGAAGGAAAGAGACTTTTAGAATATGGTGGTCACATTAGCCACGTAATCAGAAATGACTTTCATTTGCATTTAAAAGCATTGCCTGCCATTTGGGAACCTTGATGACATTTTAATTGGGGTACTTTTATCGGCTTGGTATTCTTTCTTCCTCACGCGGTGTTAGCCGCCCACGTACGAGCGCGCGACTGCCATCTACGAAACAACCACTCCATCCATTTGCGCTTTTTTCTGTATGTATATATATTCATCATCGATCGTCTTCTAAACCAACAATTCAAAGCAGCAACTCAAGGCCTTCCAAGTATTTTGGTTATCTAAAGTTCTAAACCCCAATATACCTTATAATCTTCCCATATCTTCGCCTTTGTTCGAACATGAGTTCTACTAATTCAGCAGGTACTTTTTCAACTCCACCCTCACTCGTATTATCTTAATTTCTTCCCATAAAAATCCAGATCTTCATGCATATATATGTTCTTGAATTTAATTTGAATATACTGTTGGAGAATATTTAGTTTCCGTCGATCAAGGATTTCAGTTTCTTGATTCCTCAAATTTTTTAAGTTGCATGTTCAACTTTTCTTTAAGATTTTTCTCGAGTTAAAACAATCTCATGAACGACAGTTGTTAGGTGAAAAATACTAGCTGATCGTTGTTCTTCTCTTTAATTAGTTTTTTGGGATCTTTTGATATGGGTCAAAGCAACTAAAAATTAGACCATTTTAAAAATTAAAAGTCATTAAAAATTAGACCTATTTCAAAAAGTGGCCTATAAAATTAGACATATTTCAAATTTTTCCTAGTTTTTATCTGAATCAGAGGGGGCGTTTGGGGGAAGGGGGGAGGTGAAGCAAAGGTGCAGGACTCCAAATTTGAAGGGCCTAAAATTTTTGTCATCTAATGTTATGTAATAATGTTATATATTTAGAAAATTGTTTTTGTTAGTAATTTAAAATCTCATTGTGCATTCATTATAAGAATAAATAGAAAATAATCATGTTTATCAATGCTTAAGTAATAATTTAATCAACTTATATATCATTTAATTTACTAAATTTTGTCTATAAATTTAGCATCCTTAGCATCTCACTCAATATAAAATTTTCTAGTGCAATGAGATATTCTAATTGTCAATAATAACACCCTCACAAACATCCTCACAAACGGTAGTTTTCCAATTTTATTATACAATAAGGTTATATTTTCAAGTGAACTTTAAAGTTAGACTTTTGAAGGGTTTTTTTTTTTTTTTTAAAGATTGAATTGGTTTTGGTTATCTAATGAAGGTTATGTTTGTAGCTTTTTTACGTATAATTAATGATATTTGTAAACTTACAATCGGTAAGTGCTAAAATTTATTTTGATTTAAGTGATTGTTTTTTAACATCAATACATTGTTTTACTTTTTTTTTTTTTTTTTTTTAATACTATCAGCTCTTTAAAAATTTTCGCATAGGATTTCCGAATCTTAAAGACGTCCTGATCTGAATTCTATGTAAAATTGATTGTTAATTACACGGAATGACCTTGTTTAATTGATGTGCAGCAGGATACCCCGCTCCAGCTTCCGGCCCCGCTCAGGGTCCCTATTACGTGCAAGCTCCGCCACCAGCCGGCTACCCGACAAGAGATGAACCCCAAAACGCGGTTCCGGTAGAAACCAAGTCAAAGGGTGATGGCTTCTGGAAGGGCTGCTGTGCTGCCCTCTGTTGCTGTTGCATGCTGGATGCATGTTTTTGAAGATATATCCAGCCATTCATACCGATCAATATTTTTGATCATTTGTGTTTACTTCTACCTAGTTTTTTGTGTTATTACAGTACAATCACGGTGTGTGATATTGTTGATGTAGATTTGGACGGTGTGATTGTCCCAGTTTCTCATCCTTGTATAATAAATTAAGCGATATGGCTACTCTTTTTATTTATTTGTTTATACTTTATTTAGTGGTTGATTTGTTTCTCTCGTTCAATTATTTCTGCTATATTTTATCAAATTTCAAACATTACGTGAGAGTGGATGACTACTTTCAAAGGCACGCGTGTTTGACAAAACCTGCATTGTGTTTGTGTCATCGATTCTTAAACGCAAAGGAACATGAGGGATGGTCCCATTGCCAACTTTATCTTTCCAGAAAAATGCCTTATCCTCACCTATATATAGAAATATAAGAGGACAAATACACTTGGGTTGGTTCAGCATGAGTAATTGTCAAATCACTCTTAAACAAGACAAAACATGTCGTTATCGACACTTTGTCTACAATATTCATTCTCCGCTTCAAATATGGAAATATAAGAGTTATCTTTGAAGAAAATGTCAAAACTACAATTATTGATATATTTGTACTTTTATATCAACTTTGAGTTATAATTTTCATAAACTTAAAAGAGTGGTTTAATTCTACATGGGCTCCAAGTTTCACGATTATTAAGTATTTTAACAAACGATATTATCTACACTAAAGGATGGGCGAGTGGACTAAGCGTCACAATGTTCTAGCAATAATGTGGTTCAAATTCGTTTTTAGTGAGAATTGAACTTAAAACCTCTGACTTACAAGTGAAGATGAATATCACTGTACTGTAGTACTAAGAGATCACGTTTTATAGTTGATTATATATGCCTTTTTCATGCCTTACTTATAAATTTTGGAAAGGAAATGAAAATTGATTTTGGATGGTTGATGTATAGTTTCTATGCTATGTATATGTTTTGATTGTATGGTTTCATATATCAAGTTTTGTATCTACTGCAATATTTAATTGATTCATGTTTGCCGAAGATGGTAGTGATTTCAATTTACTTTTTAAGAACTGTTTAATAACTATTTCGTATTCTTTCTTTTACTTTTTATGTTTAAAATCAACTAAAAATAATTTTTGGTTTTGGATTTTCAATTTGTAAATTGTATACATTGATTCCACTCTTGCAGCACTGGAGTTTTTGCACGCCCTCTCTCTCTCTCTCTCTCTCTCTGTAATTTTGTTGTTATTTCAACTTGAATACGTTTGTGCAAGCTTTGCTGGTTTCTATTACTTGGCCTGCATGCAAACTGAGCTATGAAAATCCAACAAGGACAAGTTATGGGAGGAGGAGAGAAGCAATTCGTAAACCCCTGTTATTATCCTTGAAAAAGATGGCACCGTATACATTTTTATTTTTTTGAACAATTGATATTATCTACGTTAAGAGAAAAAAGATGAATTTAGTCTCACTGTGTACTTGAAAAGATATTTCTAAAGATGATCATGGTTATTATCCTTCTGAGTCTGACGGAGGGCTATAGTTGTGGGCAATACCATCTATATGCTTTATCTAACCTTAACAAGGAGCACTACACGTGTCCTAACGAATCACATCCAAAGCCATGCCTAGCCTTATATAAGACCAACACTACTGTTGCTTATTGCTTTGGGGATTGGCAATCAAATCCACTTCACCCCTCCCAAAGGCCAAAACACTATAGCCTACTTGAGCAATTGCACTCAAGGTGAGTTCAATGGAGAAGTCAGACAATAATCGTCTGTTCCAGCGCTTTGTCTATATGACGCAAGACGTTAGTCATAATTTAAATTATTAAAAAAATTAAAATAAATAAAAAAAATATATATATATATATTAATTATAAATACCTAACCAGATTCTTACCCTACATTTCAATATTTTAAAATACTTTCAACCAATCATTTATTATTACACAAAATTAAAAATAAAGTTAGTATTTTATAAAATAAAAAATACTAATATTTTAAAACGAATTGTTTGGGTTATTTAGTTTTGGGTTGGAGTTGCACTTTGGCAGTTATTGTTCATTTAAGGGGATTTTTTTTAATGCATCTATATTTTTACACTAAGGAGAGGGGGAGTTCAGCTAAGTCGCACAATGAGCAACCTAATTTGGTATCGAATTCGCCATTTACGAGAATCAAACCTAAAATCTCTTACTTCCAAGTGAAGAGGAATACCATCAAACCGTAGTACTTAGTGGTTATTTAAGGGGATTAAGTTGCCTATTGGCTAGGGGGCCTTACTACACTAAAAGTGCTCTAAAGGCATGACCAAATATATGAACAGATAATTGTTTAGGAGACAAGAAACTTATACCTTGAAATTTATTTTTCCTAAAATTAATTTATTTTTTAGTACATCGATATTTTTGCACTAGAGGAAGGGAGAGTTCGGCTAAATCACACAATGAGCAGCCTAATTTGGTATTGAATTCGCCATCCACAGTATTCAAACTTTAAGACCTCTTACTTTTAAGTGAAGAAGAATACTACCAAATTGTAATACAGTAACACGGAATGACTCCTAAAATTAATTAAGTCTAACTAAGATATCAAAGAGACGTAGGCTCACACCATGTCGGCGTGACAAGATTTCGACTCCTAAAATTAATTAAGTCTAACCCGAAGCAACCCTACGTTTGAGAGAAATCTGTTCCCAATTTTCATTTTTTGGATGTTGCCCCGATTAAGCACGAGATTGGAAAAAAAAATAGTAACTCAGCCCAGTCCAAGCCCAATACAAAATCTCAATAGTTCAGCCCAGGTCTTAAAAAACCTAGGGTTTCAGTGAGCCGCCATTACTATAAATCTCTCTCCTAGGGTTTTTCCTCCCCACTCTTTGCCGAAACCCGAGCGACAGAGAGAGAGAGAGTGAGAGAGAAGAGAGAGAAACCAGCCATGGTGAAGTTTCTGAAGCCAAACAAGGCGGTGATCAACCTCCAGGGCCGCTACGCCGGGCGCAAGGCTGTCATCGTACGCGCCTTCGACGAGGGCACCCGCGACCGTCCCTACGGCCACTGTTTGGTTGCGGGGATTAAGAAGTACCCAGGCAAGGTCATCCGCAAGGACTCCGCCAAGAAGACGGCCAAGAAATCCAGAGTGAAGGCCTTCATCAAGCTCGTGAACTACCAGCACCTGATGCCAACGCGCTACACCCTGGACGTGGATCTCAAAGACGTCGTCAACGTCGAGTGCTTGCAGACAAAGGACCAGAAGGTCACTGCTTTGAAGGAGGTCAAGAAGCGGTTCGAGGAGCGGTTCAAGACCGGGAAGAACAGGTGGTTCTTCACCAAGCTCAGGTTCTGAGGACCTTTCCATACGGCGCCGCACTGGAAATGGGGTCTGTCTGATTTTGGGTTTATGTTTTTTCGAGTTTAAGTTTAATTTTGAAATGAAATGAGACGTTTTTATGGATTTTATGGATTAATGTTTAGCTTGAGTGATTAGATTTTGTATTACTGAGATGTTTAATTTTGGGTCTTTCTGGATTTTGCTTTATTTTCCTGCAATTTTATATCAGCATTGTTCTTCTGTGTTGTTTGATATGATTCTTTCCTGCAGTTACTTTACGCTTATCATTTGTGTATTGATTCTGTTTCAATTTGGATAATTAGGAATCGGGTTTCTAGAGTTGTAGGCTATTGAGCAGCTGTGATGCGTGTAATGTTTCGATTTAAGTTCGATTACTGTTCACTGATGCATTTTTGTTTTATGGAATTGCCCAAGTGTTGTGCTTTTGGATTTTCCAGTGTTTAGGGTCGATCACGAACAAATTGTCTGCTGTGAGGTATCTTGTTTGTCAACTTTAGTGCTAGTTAATAGAAATAGTTTAGTTATGGTGTTTATTTTTGATGCTTCGTCTTGTAGAAAACAGTTGTACCTTAAGACGTCGTTGGAGTGTGTGTATATGGATTGGTTTATGTTGGGGTTTCGTGGTATGAAATGTTCTCTACTAATTGCTAGAAATTTGAAAAGTTGCAGTCAAAGTTTTAGCATTTTATTAACAAGTACTATTGAATTTTCAATTGATAGACTTTGTTTATCTTTCAGTATGATGTGTTGAATTGAGTCTTCAACTGATGGCTGGTGATTGGAAGTTTTGCAGATTGCTGCTTTTGTAAAACGCTTTGTCACTCTTTGTTTAGGGAGTTTTGTTGTCTGTGGTCTCTATGTTGACTGTCGAGTTTCTTGGTTAGCGGTAGATGCCCTAATCATCTCATGTCAAAATGTTTAGATTTGTGATTTAACAGTCGTGAATAGAAGTTGTTGCTTGTTTTTGGATGTTACTTGTAATTACGTGGTTCTTGTGTTGCGTTGATCATGAAAACATCTGATGCTAAACTGGTTGCTAGCATTCGATGGATTGGTTTGCTGTCGTGAAATTTTGGTTGAAAACATTTCCATGCCAATTCTTTTCTGGATGATTTTTATGTGTAGTCAAATTTAAGAACAATAGTTTTTGTTCAAGACTTAGATCTGGTTTGGTATTGTTGTGCTTTGAAAAAAAACTGATTCTGCTGTGCTGTGAGAATAATGGTAATAGATTTTTTGTTGAGGGACCAATGGTAATAGATTTTTAGTTGAGGGACTATAGCTGCATGTTTTAATGAGTTGAGGGACCAATGATAATAGATTTTTAGTTGAGGGACAATTGCTCCGATTGAGTTAAAGTTAAGAGATCATTATTACAATTTACTCTTTGATGCATGTATGTGGCAATTGGCAAATGATCGTATACGTGAGAGACTTGTTTCATTGGGCGGGTGTATAAAAAATTTCTCAATGTTTGGCGTTTTCAATTTGTACATCGAAAATTATGCAGTCGTCGAAGTAAACTATTTGGAATGCTACACGGGGGGTGATTTCACGCCTAGTTTCTTTCCCCTTCTGCACTCGTGTCCTTGTTTGTAATCACCACCTGGATTATCCTTTGATTCTCTGGTGATTCATTCAATTCAAGGGTTGTAAAAATAGGAGTGTAGAGAAGAAAGTCGTGTGCGGAAGTCACTTTTGTTGTAACGGAACCCAAAAAATTTCAATAGGAATCTTAGTATCATCTGCTTTTATTCATTAAGTAGATGATATATCATGCTTAAGAGAAACAACAAAAGCACAACCCTTGTCTGCAAATTCCCCTCCTAAATACAAAACAAGATTCAAAGGGATAAAAATCCATCTCTCTCAAGTTATTCACCAAAACACTTGCGCTTATGAGCTTTTCGAGTTGCCTGACCGAAGTCTCCGCTGCTCTATGCCACCACGGCCGGTGCTTTGCCACTCCACCTCCACCACTGGAACCAGAGAAGCCTTCTGTACCAGTTGAAGTACCAACAGCCCGAGTCTGATATTACTCAGATTAGTATTTATGATGTCCTTGACTAACTCAGTCTACTCTTTTCAAGTTTTAGTTTTCTAACTTTTGTAGTCTACCTACCTACCCTGGAATCTTTCATCATTTTGGTAAGCAATAGGTATAGCCAGCGAATTCACACATCTTTTGAAGTTCGACTGTAGTACATAAAAGTTTCTTTTATACTCCAGTCGAACTACGACCAAGATTGGAATGATGGGACTAGAGAGTGGGGTAGTTGGACTTGAAATACAACGGGATTGGGGTAGAGAGACTTTCAGTCGCTATTTCAGACCTTAGAACTTGTGCTATACAAGGCAGCAAATGAGCTCAAGAAGTCGGACTCTAGAATATCTCCTATACTAGATGCCTAACAAGCTTTTACTGTCTCGATTTATGTTGATTGACATTTAAACTTCAGGACAATAGGAGTCCTAACTGTATTTAAGCTTCTTGAATATAGGACATGATATGTGAATCATTCTATTATATATCAATTGACAATGTACAATACGTTTAAGTGACTCAAATTTACATGTTAAATTCTCTAAAATACTTTACTTTTGGACCATTATATTTTAACAATATATATCACACTCTTTTTTTTTTTTTTTTTTTAATTAGGACAATTGATGGTAAACACGGTTATCCATCTTTTTCGGAAGTCAAAAATACTAAATGAGCATTTCAGTCTCTTTTGATTACAGTCAATTAGACTCATCAACTTGGAATCTCAAATAAGAATAAATGTTGAAGTCGAATTGGGATCTGAGTTGGTACAGCTGTAAAGCCGCCGTCCAAGGTTCCAAAAACTCGTGAATATTGAATGGTCTAGATGTTTGCATACAACCATACAAACATTAGACAAAATTAACACACATCAATGTCAACACAAGGACAAACCTTCCCACCCTATAATCTTCCCAAAACCTCTCGATCCGAGAATCCGAAGATGACGCTAATTACACCATTAATCAACTAATCAACCCTTAATTAATTCTACTAATCCGTCAATCGACCGACCCCCTTTTTTTTTTGGTCGAATCCCCCAACACAACAAACGGACTTAACGACAACCCCAAACGGAGTACCTAACGAGGAGGATTTCCCCACACGTGTCAACTCCTCACCCACCCCCCAACACGCTCGCACGCATCCCCTTCCCCCTCTAAAGTTATCAAACTTTCCGTCTCATTTTCCCTAATTTTCTCTCACTTTCTCGCACTTTCTCTCTAACCAAACAATTTTCTCTCTCACCAAACAATTTTCTCTCTCTACTATCTCTCCTCTCTCTCTGACAAAGCTTTCTGCAAAACTCACTGTACAGGCGTTTGGTTGTCTTTCTCGCTTTTCTTTGTCGCTTCCCGCTCGAAGGCTTCCGAGCTTTTTATATTCTCCCTATCGACAATCACACACTTCCTCCCTCCTCCTCCTCTACCAGTCATGCTTCAGAGCTTAGTTCCTCAATCCCCAATCGCCGCCGCCACCCCTAGCAATAACAACCCTACCTCCTCCTCCTCCTCCATGAAGACCAAGCGCGTCGACCGCGACCTCGCCGGCAGTGGAAGCGGCGATTCCGACGCCGAAGACCCCTCCTTCACCAAACGCCCCAATTCCGGCAGAAATTTCCGCGAAAGCACTGCCGACGATCGTGACACCGAACCGGTGGCGGAGGGCGAGTCGGACGGGTTGAGACTGTTGGGGCTTCTGCTACAATGCGCCGAGTTCGTCGCCATGGACAGCCTCGACGACGCCAGCGACCTGTTACCTGAGATCGCGGAGCTATCATCGCCGTTTGGGTCGTCGCCGGAACGAGTCGGCGCGTATTTCTCGCATGCGCTTCAGACTCGCGTGATCAGCTCCTGCTTAGGTACCTACTCTCCGCTCGCCAACAAAACCCTAACGCTTGCTCAGTCGCAGCGGATCTTCAACGGGCTCCAATCCTACAACTCCATCAGTCCGCTAGTCAAATTCTCACACTTCACGTCCAATCAGGCGATTTTCCAGGCGCTGGACGGCGAGGATCACGTCCACGTCATCGATTTGGATATAATGCAAGGCCTCCAGTGGCCAGGACTGTTCCACATCCTCGCATCGCGGTCGAAGAAGATCCGGTCAATGCGGATAACCGGGTTCGGGTCCTCCTCGGAGCTCCTCCAGTCGACCGGACGGAGACTCGCCGATTTCGCGAGCTCGCTCGGCCTGCCCTTCGAGTTCCAGCCGCTGGAGGGCAAAATCGGGAGCATAACCGACCTAAGTCAACTCGGAATCAGACCGAGCGAGGCCACCGTGGTCCACTGGATGCACCATTGCTTGTACGACGTCACCGGCAGCGATTTGGCGACGCTGAGATTGCTGGGCTCGCTGAGACCGAAGCTGATCATGATCGCCGAGCAGGATTTGAGCCACAGCGGCAGCTTCCTGAGTAGGTTTGTGGAGGCCTTGCATTACTACAGCGCGCTGTTTGATGCGCTCGGGGACGGGTTGGGCGCAGACAGCCTGGAGAGGCATATGGTGGAGCAGCAGCTGTTTGGGTGCGAGATTAGGAATATCCTGGCGGTTGGCGGGCCGAAGAGAACCGGGGAGGTGAAGGTGGAGAGGTGGGGGGATGAGTTGAAGCGGGTTGGGTTTGGGCCCGTTTCGCTTGGCGGGAACCCGGCGGCGCAGGCTAGCTTGTTGCTTGGGATGTTCCCGTGGAAGGGGTACACTCTGGTGGAGGAGAATGGGTGCTTGAAGTTGGGTTGGAAGGACCTCTCCTTGCTCACAGCCTCTGCCTGGCAGCCGTTGGATTGAAATACTTTGACCAGCATGATACAGTGGGGAGGAGGAGTTGTTTTTCACTTTGCTGTAATTCTTTGAAGGAGCAAAACATTGTAGTTAGTTTTTTTTTTTTTTTCGGTTCTTTGTTATATGTTTAAAGAAAAGAAGAAGGCGGTGCTGTCTACGCATCTATTTTTACTTCTCACATATTTCTTATTAATTTTTGTTCTTTGGATTTTGTGATTTATGAAATTCGACGATCAAAACTGAAAGGGGTGTGTGTATTACACCACCCGGAAAAAAAAAAAATCCATAGGTCATGGCTTGTTATTATTATTATTTAGGAAGTAAGAATCATTTGTGTTGTTAAATTAGGTGCAATTGTTTAACTCATTGAAGAGTTGAATGTGTGTTTTGATGATGCAATGTCATGAGAGGATGAGGATTATGATATTTGGCTTGGTGGGAAGTTGCAATCAAACATGGGAGACAAGACTTATCCTCCTTTGTGTGCTAAATAATTTTAGGGATCAATAGAAACATCAATGTTATATGCTACGGTAAGTCGTCTGCATGGATTATAAAATTATGATCGTTAAGACTTTGAATGTGATATATCAATGGTATGATACAACGTTTAGAACTAACTCACGCACACGACTGATCTTTCTAGGTCCCCTCATCCTATATCTAACATGTGCGGGGTAAGTGAGAAATTGGAATTTGGAGATGGCCTAGTCCCCACAAAGGAAATGAGTGCACATGGAATTGTACCCTAGAAAATGAAAGCTTGTCTCACTTTGTCAGAAAATCAGATAAGCTCGGTGTGCTTCTCTTCCTCTCATAGTTGCATATCAGTTCTTGACAGGTTGATTGGAAGGGAATTCCACACACTTTAACTCGTATGATAGTGACCTTTAAATTATTTCAATCCCAATTTTACTAACATATCATTTTCCAACCATTTTTAATCAAGTTTTAAACACTTGCTAACCTCCTCATCTTACCCTACCAGCATACCTCCATGTCAATATGTCAATCAGAAAATTGGATTAATTGAAGCTTTGGTTCCTGGATTAAAAACTCGTGAACATTGATTTTTGAACTTGTTATAATGTAGAGTAATTGTCATTTTGGCTAACCCCGTTAGAACTTTCATCCAAAATAAAGATTTAAGGGGTGAAAGTTCTAAACGGAGTTCGCCAAAAGGACTTTCGCTCCATATTATGATAAGTTAGAAATTAATACTTAGATTTTTATTTCAGGACCAAACCTCCAATTGAGTTAACGTACAAAGACTGTTGCCCTAATTATCTTATATGTGAAATGTGGGAGCCATTGTGCCAATAGCAAATGAAGGGTGGAAGCTTTCGCACGGAAATAATTTGTGCTACACTTTTTTCTCATAATGCACGCTCACATTTATTTATTTCTCTTATTTCTTTTTTTCTTTATTTGATCCGAAAATTATATATAAATAACGTGCGAAAATCATCTCCCTTCTTTGTACTTCTCCATGAAAAAACCATGTTTACTTTATAAGGTAAAATATTTACATGTTTTCTTTAAAAGGTAAAATAGTTATTCACTCGAGTATTTAGTGCAACAGGGTCTTGTTATTGACATTGGGCCGAATAGGACCCGATCCTTAAGGCTCGTTATGGGCCAATCGAGGCTTAAAATGTAAGCCCCATGACCTACCGATTTAAAAACGAGTCAAATAAAACCAGCTCTACGATCGGATTGGGCCGACCTAAGACCTTAAAATAGGACTAAACTCAGACCGCCTATTAGGGCCTTGGCTCTTTTTAACAGGCCTAGTACCGGTAAAGTAATAGTTAGTCGTTTGAAGGGCAGTTATGATCTTTGAGATCGGCATAATTCATTTTTTCGTTTTTGAGATCTGAAATTAATAGAAGTGGTTATGAGTTTCTCTACCGTCAATTATTTTGGTTATTCCGTAAAAATTTTCGATTAAATTTGGACTAAAATTAGAAAAATACTCTCAATTAATAAACATGGGCCAAAACGATTAGACAAAAATTAAGGATATTTTTATCATTTTATCCCCTTTCGATTTGGTTGCCACCTTTTTCCTTCTTATATTGTGAAACCCCTCCTGACTTCTCCATCACTTACCTCTCTCTATATCTCTTTCATTCACACACACACAAAAATTGTTGAGGTTGTTGCTTCGGATGGTGTTCCCCCGATTTGAAACCAGTTGGTTCTGTAGTTTTAGAATTCTGCTGATCACAAGGACCCATCTCCATCATTGCATATGGGAATACAGAAAGTAAAGAGGAAAAGCGAAGTCGCAGGTTCTTGCTTTAGTTTATTTCTTGTGCGCTCAACCATCTCCTGGTCAAGCTTTGGATGAGCTTCTAGTGTTGAGTTGTCACAAGTAGGTTTTTTTAGTCATAGCTAGACAGCCAAGATAGAGGTCCGTCTCCTCGATCAAATTCACCAGTATCCTTGGTTGGAAAATGAAGAAGTAATCGTAGTGACAAATGGTGACGGTTGCGGAAACCGGAGAAAAAGTCGGTTACCTTTTGAATTATAGAATGAATAAGGAGAGGCCTGATGATGACCGAGCCACTCTTATATTACTCCTTGTCTTACCACCCCTTGTCACTTAAAGGGCAAAGGCGCTAAAGCGAGTCTAAAGGCCAAAGAGTGATCTTTGAACGCTACTACGCATCTTTACTATTAGTATAGTGTATGCAAGATCCCAATCGCTCAGGGGAGTGATCCTTATATGTATATTCTCGTCCCTACCTAGCATGAGGCTTTTTGGGAGCTCACTGGCTTCGGGTTCCGTAGGAACTCCGAAGTTAAGCGAGAGAGCGAGAGAGCAATCCCAGGATGGGTGACCCACTGGGAAGTTCTCGTGTGAATTCCTAGAAACAAAACAGTGAGGGCGTGGTCGGGGCCCAAAGCAGACAATATCGTGCTACGGTGGAGTCGAGCCCAGGATATGGTGGGGGCCCGGGCCGGGATGTGATAGTATAAGGTAGGTTTCCTTATTCTAACGAAGATTTTTCACGGAATGAACAAAGTGATTATGATGGACAATCTCATGCACATTTCTATTAATTTTAAATCTTAAAGGCCAAAATGAGAGCACTTCCAGTGTAGGAAGGCCCCCCATGGCAATTGGCAATTGAAAATATTGAAATGTGGTGTAAGGTGGGAGAAAATGGTAAGGTATTTATAAAAAAATAAAAAAAAATTATAATTAAATTTTTTTTTCTGATTTTTAATTAGTTTTAATTTTTTTTAATTAACTTAATTAATTTGGACCGTCGGATTACAAAAAATTTGAAATCCAACAATCCAAAATGAGACATGTGGCCCACCCAAACATTTCTGATTTCTTTTTCTAAATTTTTTTAAAACCGAACAAACTGGACCGTTGATCTAGAAATCAAACGGTTTAGATTCAAAGTGAACACGCGGGCCCCACCGCCTGAAATCTTGTCAGTAACGCGCCCCCATGCGCAAGTGTTATGCACGTGCCTGACGCAAAATTTTTTATAACGTGATTGACGTCAGCCTTGCATCACAAAGCCCTTTAGGCGCTCGGACCTTGGACTCCCTTTTGCCCTCCCCCACGGACTCTCCCTTAACCCAATTGCCCAAATAAGCTGGAGCTAGTTTGAGTGGGGATGGGGTTGCTTTTGTTCCCTATCCACCATGCTAGGGAGCATGCTGGATTTGCTCTGAGAAGTTATAACAGTCAAATCCCATTTTGGCTAAAAGAACAAAAAAAAATTCACCGGTTTGACAAACTGGTTGACCTTTTTTCTCAACACAAAAATCCATCTAAAGCCCGCACGGACGCTCGTTTCTCTCTCCCAAACAAACCAAACACCCCCACCCCCTCCTCCTCCCCCTCCTCCTCCTCTCTCTCTCTGTGTTCCCAAAATGCTCCAAAGGCTGAGAGAAATCACCAGAGACAAGTAAGTCATCTTCTTCCCACTCTTCTCCTTCGAATTCTTTCTGGAAAATGCAAAATCTTCACCACTACATATTAAATTCTCAGAAAATTTTCAAAAATATTCACAGGCTAGTAATTTGATTGATTAATTGATTGATTATTTTAGTTGATTAGGATGATATCTTTGGAGGGTTTCGAGCCCGTAGCTGTTTCTCCCCAGAAACAAGACCCGGCATGGAAACACTGCCAACTTTTCATGAAAGACCAACCCAATGGGGTTAGAGTTGAGTTGAAAAAGTGTATATATTGCGGCAAGTTGTTTCAGGGTGGTGGGATTACTCGGCTTAAATCCCACCTTGCCGGTCGGAAGGGCAATGGCCCTACCTGTGATCAGGCCCCGCCGGATGTTAGAATCGCAATGTTGCAGAGTTTGGATGATGGGATTGCAGCGTTTAGGCAGAGGAAGAGTCGAATTGTTGCTAACCCGCATTGTAGTATTAGCGAAATTGACGGTTCATTGGGTGAAAATGGAGAGTATAAATTGGTTGTAGGACACGATTCGAATGCGGTGGTGAATGATGAGGAGGCTGGTGGGATGAGTGGGAAAGGAGGAATTAGGTTAAGTGATAATTTGACGAATGTGCCCCTTGAAGTAGATAATTCTTACAGGAGTAATGCTCAGCAGGGATTAATTGGAGTGCCCAAATTGGATTTTTCGGTAGATGAAGAGGAAGATGGTGGGACAAGTGTTGATAAAAGAGAACGGCGGAGGGGTAGACCTTCAGGTGGTGCTACCTGTTCTGGTTCAGTTCATGCCGGTGTTACGAAATTGAGTAGCGTTTCAGCTCCTTTTCCTATTTCAGTAGGCAATGATTTTCCCAATTCAAATTTATCGCAAAACGAAGAAGTTGGCATCAAACTGAATTTTTCAGTAGATCAGGAAGATGCTGGATTGAGTATTGATAGAAGAGTAAGGCGGAGGGGTAGACCTTCTAAAGCAGCAACTGGTTCAGTTAATGCTGTTACGAAATTGAGTAATGCTTCACCTCCTGTTCCTATTGCATTAGGTACTGCTTTTCCCAATTCAAATTTGTTGGAAAATGAAGACGTTGGCGTAAGTAATACAAATGTGAGTGTGAAGAAGAGGGTAAGGGATGAAAATGCTTTGGGGGCTGCGAATGATGGAACCATCGGCAATGATTACCAGGTAAAAAGGTTGAGCATTGAACAAATACATATGGCAATTGGTCGGTTTTTGTATGAAATTCAGGCTCCCCTGGATGCAGTGAAGAACTCTGTTTATTTCCAGCCAATGATTGACGCAATTGCCTCTGGGGGAAAGGAGACTGTGGCACCCTCATATGATGACATTCGGGGTTGGATGTTGAAGAATGCAGTTGAAGAAATGAAGTGTGAAATTCAACAACACAAGGAAACTTGGGCGAGGACAGGTTGTTCTCTTCTAGTCAACCAATGGAATTCTGAAAAGGGTAGAACTTTGCTAAATTTTGCAGTGTACTCTCCTGAAGGAACAATCTATTTGAAATCTGTGGATGCTTCTTACTTTATTTTTTCCCCAGATGCTTTGTTTGCATTTTTCAAGGAAGTGGTGGAAGAAATTGGAGTGGGACATGTTTTGCAAGTCATTACAAATACTGAAGAACAATTTTCTGTTGTTGGGAAGAAGTTGATGGATACGTTCCCTACCCTGTACTGGTCTCCCTGTTCCGCTGCTTGCATAGATTCGATTCTCGAGGATTTCGGAAAGGTTGAGTGGATAAATTCTGTAATTGAACAGGCTAGATCTATTACAAGATTTATCTACAAACACGTTGGCATTTTGAACATGATGAGAAGGTATACGTTTGGGAATGACATTGTTAGGCTGGGAGTATCTAGGTTTGCAACAAACTTTATGACGTTGAAACAAATGGCTGACCTTAAATATAATTTGCAGTCGATGGTTACTTCAAACGAGTGGATGGGCTGCCCCTTTTCTAAAACACCAGAAGGATCGGCAGTGTTAGATATATTCAGCAATCAGTCATTTTGGTCTTCGTGCATTTTGATCACCCGTTTAACAAATCCGCTCTTGCGAGTTTTGAGAATTGTTGGTAGCCAGAAGAGGCCAGCGATGGGATATGTTTTTGCAGGGATGTATCGAGCAAAAGAAACAATCAAAATAGAACTTGTCAAGCAAGAAGAATATATGGTGTACTGGAACATTATAGATCAGAGATGGAAAAAATTGTGGGATTTTCCCCTTCACGCTGCAGGATTTTACCTTAATCCCAAGTTCTTTTATAGCTTCAAAGGAGACATGCATAATGAAATTGTGTCGAGGATGTTTGACTGCATAGAGAGATTGGTTCCTGATATAAAAGTCCAAGATGAAGTAATCAAAGAGATCAACTTGTACAAAAATGCTGTTGGAGATTTGGGGAGGAATTTGGCAGTCCGAGCAAGGGACAGTCTGCTTCCTGGTGAGAATAGTTCATTAGAATGCATTGTTATTTTGTGTCGCATGGTTTCTTTAGTTACTTGGCTATACATGTAGACGAAAGGTAATTAAGCCATATTTTAACTCAGTTAACTTTTATGTAATAGAATGATAGATATGATAAATTGCATAAAATATACCCTGACCATCTAATTTATCTATTTATTTTTAAAATTCGGTACGAGGGCTCCTATTTTGAGGATATGCTGCAGAGAGTTTGGATGTTCTTGCATCTTTTGGCTCATTTCTTTGAACTCTCTGTTTGTCTTAGCTGAATGGTGGTCGACATATGGTGGTGGTTGCCCAAACCTCGCACGCTTGGCAATTCGTATTCTCAGTCAAACTTGCAGCTTAGTTCCGTGTCAGGAGAATCAGATTCCTTTCGAACAGTTGCACAAGACAAGGAACAGCGTAGAACAACAGCGGCTTAATGATCTTGTTTTCCTTCAATACAACCTCAAACTAAAACAGAAGTAAGTGGAAACCATAGGTTCTGTTGATTTGTATTCCCAATGTTCTTTGCTCAAAGAAAACAGATGTTTTGCTAATCAACTGTCTTATAGGGTTCACACGCACAAAGAACATAAGTACGTGGATCCTATATCATTTGACCGCAACAGCATTGCCGAAGAGTGGGTAGCAGAGATGGAGATGCACCAAGAAGACACTGAAAATCCTGATTGGATGTCACTTGATCCCCCCTCTGAGAACTCGAGGCTTTTACAACTTTCGGTTGATGAAGTTGAAGAATTGGGTTCAGGTAACTAAGTTTGTATGGTTTGTAATTTATCGTCGAAGATATAATCTTTTCTACATCTTGAGTTAAACTGGACAGTTGGTCAATGTACAGGGTATGATGACAATGAAATTTTGAACGGATTAAAAGTGGTTAAAGAAGAATGTTAAACACAGCGCTGTGAGCCGGCGGGACATAATGCAAAGACAAACATCTTTATGAGTTCACCACACCACCGCCACTTTCTTCAAGTTCCTACGGGAAGCAAGGCACTTAGCAAACTCGCATGTCTAGAGATACTGCTCGGGCCAATTATATTCTTTCCCTGGCATTACTGCAGAGTGATGGAAATTAGGAGGAAAAATATGTGACCGCGGCCAGCCTTCAGGGATGTGAATTGGTTGGGCAAGTTCCTGCAACAAACAATTACAAGTAGGTAGTTTACATGGTAGAAAAATGGGGCTTTGTAGCTGACAATCAAAAATAGTTGCGGAACGAGTTTTCAGTTTTTAATTTTCAAAAAGAAATATAAAAACTGAAAATTAAATACTTATCAAACGGCCCTGAAATAATTTCATTTTGGGATCCGACCATATGACTCAAAAACAACTGAGACTGTCCTCTTCTTTTCGTATCAACAAACGCACAAATTCTTATATTTCCGAAAGCATCTGCAACCCAATATACAAACTAAATACAAACTTGAATAATACATAACCATCTGTGTTTTGCTTTGCAAACAACCAAGGGGATAGCAAAAACACAAAAACTTGATCTGGTATCGTTTCCCAAGAATGAGGCCGATGATCCCTGACACCACAGCCACTCCCACAATGAACTTAACACTAGGCATTGGGGAAGCCTTTGCCTTTCTTTTCGCTGCAGCCGCCTTAATGCTTTCAGCCTACAATTCGTCTGAGTTAGAAAGAATATTTAAAAGATGAATGTGTCCCGTTCTTTGGCTGCCCAAGAGCTTATCTGTGGATTTTTTTCAGGGAAATCGATTTCTACCTCTTTTTGCAGTCGAGCTTCAGTTTTCCCCAATTTCTCTTTGAGTTCCTTGAGAAAATTTTGCAACAAAGTTTTCTCAGCAACCTCAGCCTTGAGATTTTCAACTCAGATCTTAAAGCAGCTTCTCCTGCTTTTTGTTCCTTGAGCTGTTCTCAAGGTTGGATATCACTTGCTGGAGTTCCTTCTTAGTATTTTGATGCACTTCATTAAGCAGGCTGTTCTCATCTGTAAGCGAAGATATATGTGGCAAACGGATGTAGCTTATAACCATAAAGCAACAGTATTTAGCCGCAAAATAATTACAAAAAAGTTTGGTGCAAACCTGAGATTTTAGTTTCTGCCCTTGAGAAGAATGCTTCTGCATTAAATCTTCAATAGTCCTTTTTGCAGCCTGAAGTTGTTCAACTGATTCATCCTTCTCAGCAACAGCAGTGGAATATTTTGCTTCAAGGTCACTTTGTTTGCACTCGTATGTAGACACATCTTCTTTAAGCTTTATATTTGCCTTAGCTAGTTTTCTGCTATCTTCTTCACAGTGAGCTGACATGGTTTGCAGTTCCATGAGTGAATTCTGCAATAAAGGCTTCTCAGCAACCTCAGCCTTGAGATTTTCAACCTCAGATTTTAAAGCAGCTTCCCCTGTTTTTTGTTCCTTGAGCTGTTCTTCAAGGTTAGATATCGCTTGCTGGAGTTCCTTCTTAGTATTTTGATGCACTTCATTAAGCAGGCTATTCTCATCCGTAAGCGAAGATATCTGTGGCAAATAGATGTAGCTAATAACCATAAAGCAACAACATTTAGCTGCAAAATAATTACAAAAAAGTTTGGTGCAAACCTGAGATTGTAGTTTCTGCCCTTGAGAAGAATGCTGCTCCTTTAAATCTTCAATTGTCCTTTTTGCAGCCTGAAGTTGTTCAACTGATTCATCATTCTCAGCAACAGCAGTGGAATATTTTGCTTTAAGGTCACTTTGTTTGGACTCGTATGTAGACACATCTTCTTTAAGCTTTATATTTGCATCAGCTAGCTTTCTGCTCTCTTCTTCAAAGTGAGCTGACTTGGTTTGCAGTTCCTTGAGAGAATTCTGCAATAAAGGCTTCCCAGCAGCCTCAGCCTTGAGATTTTCAACCTCAGATTTTAAAGCAGCTTCTCCTGTTTTTTGTTCCTTGAGTTGTTCTTCAAGGTTAGATATCGCTAGCTGGAGTTCCTTCTTAGTATTTTGATGCACTTCATTAAGCAGGTTGTTCTCATCGGTAAACGAAGATATCTGTGGCAAACAGATGTAGCTAATAACCATAAAACAATAGTATTTAGCCGCAAAATAATTACAAAAAAGTTTGGTGCCAACCTGAGATTGTAGTTTCTGCCTTTGAGAAGAATGCTGCTGCATTAAATCTTCAATAGTCCTTTTTGCAGCCTGAAGTTTTTCAACCGATTCATCCTTCTCAGCAATAACAGTGGAATATTTTGCTTCAAGGTCACGTTGTTTGGACTTGTATGTAGACACATCTTCTTTAAGCTTTTTATTTGCCTTAGCTAGTTTTCTGCTATCTTCTTCACAGCGAGCTAACTTGGTTTGCAATTCCTTGAGAGAATTCTGCAATAAAGGTTTCTCAGCAGCCTCAGCCTTGAGATTTTTAACCTTAGATTTTAAAGCAGCTTATCCTGCTTTTTGTTCCTTGAGCTGTTCTTCAAGGTTGGATATCACTTGCTGAAGTTCCTTCTTAGTATTTTGATGCACTTCATTAAGCAGGCGGTTCTCATCCATAAGCGAAGATATCTGTGGCAAACAGATGTAGCTAATGACCATAAAGCAACAATATTTAGCCGCAAAATAATTACAAAAAAGTTTGGTGCAAACCTGAGATTGTAGTTTCTGCCCTTGAGAAGAATGCTGCTCCTTTAAATCTTCAATTGTCCTTTTTGCAGCCTGAAGTTGTTCAACTGATTCATCATTCTTAGCAATGGCAGTGGAATATTTTGCTTCAAGCTCACTTTGTTTGGACTCGTACGTAGACACATCTTCTTTAAGCTTTTTATTTGCCTCAACTAGTTTTCTGCTCTCTTCTTCACAGTGAGCTAACTTGGTTTGCAGTTCCTTGAGAGAATTCTGCAATAAAGGTTTCTCAGCACCCTTAACCTTGAGATATTTAACCTCAGATTTTAAAGCAGCTTCTCCTGCTTTTTGTTCCTTGAGCTTTTCGTCAAGGTTGGATATCACTTGCTGGAGTTCCTGCTTAGTATTTTGATGCACTTCATTAAGCAGACGGTTCTCATCCATAAGCGAAGATATCTGTGGCAAATAGATGTAGCTAATAACCATAAAACAACAATATTTAGCCGCAAAATAATTACAAAAAAGTTTGGTGCAAACCTGAGATTGTAGTTTCTGCCCTTGAGAAGAATGCTGCTGCGTTAAATCTTCAATAGTCCTTTTTGCAGCCTGAAGTTGTTCAACTGATTTGTGCTTCTCAGCAACGACAGTGGAATATTTTGCTTCAAGGTCACATTGTTTGTACTTGCATGTAGACACATCTTCTTTAAACTTTATATTTGCCTCAGCTAGTTTTCTTCTCTCTTCTTCAAAGCGAGCTGACTTGGTTTGCAGTTCCTTGAGAGAATTCTGCAATAAAGGTTTCTCAGCAACCTCATCCTTGAGAATTTGAACCTCAGATATTAAAGCAGCTTCTCGTGCTCTTTGTTCATTGAGCTGTTCTTTAAGTTCAGATATCTCTCGCTGGAGCAGGACCTCGCGCACAATTATCTGTGGCAAACAGATGTAGCTAATAACCATAAGGCGACAATATTTAGCCGCAAAATAATTACAAAAAAGTTTAGTGCAAACCACTGGCAACAGAAATGCCATTAGCTTCCAAATCTCTCTGACTGAATGTTTCAATGGCTTCTTGCAACTTCGTCTTAGCTTCCACAATGCGGGCTTCGAAAGCAGAATGAAGTTCTAAGGCTCTCGAGTGCTTATCTGTTAATTCTTCAACACTGCTCTTGCGCAAAGGCTTTGAACTGCATCGTAACAACATGTGTAAAAACAAGGAAGAGGATGCACCAACTCATTAGTGGGTAAAGTCTTTTGTTCCTTGAGCTGTTCTTCAAGGTTAGATATCGCTAGCTGGAGTTCCTTCTTAGTATTCTGATGCACTTCATTAAGCAGGTTATTCTTGTAGACATCGAAATTTCAGTAAAACAAATGTTCACCAATGCATTAAAGTTTTGAAGTGTCAAGGCATACATGGCATACGCCACGTGTTGTACAAATTGTACACGTGGCGTGTGACTCAACAAAATAGGAAGAAATACCCTTGAAGGATTAAACAAGTTTTTCTTCTCATTTTGGGCAATGACAAGGCAAGTACATTTCAATCCATTGAGGATCAAAACAAGTTTTTCTTCTCATGTTGGGCAATGACAAGGCAAGCATACTTCAATCCATTACGGATCAAAGCAAGTTTTTCTCATTTGGGCAATGACAAAGCATACACATTTCAAGTTTAAAATGGTGTTAAGTGGGAAATTAGGCCATAAGTTACACCACTTCAAGTTTAAAATTGTATTAAGTGGGAAATTAGGCCATAAGTTACACCACTTCAAGTTTAAAATGGTATTAAGTGGGAAATTAGGCCATAAATTACACCACTTCAAGTTTTAAATGGTATTAAGTGGGAAATTAGGCAATAAGTTACACCACTTCAATTTCAATATTGCATTAAGTGGGAAAATTAGGCAATGGTGCTTGGAAAAGAAAAAAATATTTTGTGGTAGTGATTCATTCTCAAAGCCTATAAATAGGCTTCTCCATCAAGGTATCAAGCATCAACCAATTCACAAATACATTTCTCCACACACCAAAACCTTGAAGCCTTAGAGTTCTAAAGCTCTCAAGAAAATCCCGAAGGATCAAGAAAGCACTCTTCGTTCTTCGTCAAATCCTCCCTTAAGATCAAGCCCCAACGGCCCTTGAAGAACTTCCACCAACTCAAGATCAAGCCCCGACGGCCCATGAAGAAAGTGTTCATCCGTTCATCTCAAGATCAAGCCCCAACGGCCCTTGAAGAACTTCCACCAACTCAAGATCAAGCCTCGACGGCCCTTGAAGAAAGTGTTCATCCGTTTATCCTAAGATCAAGCCCCAATGGCCCTTTGGATCAACAACCTCAACAAATCCACACATCCAATCGTTCTTCAAGATTAAGCTCAAAAGCCCTTGAAGAACCACATCCAATCAACCTTCAAGATCAAGCCCAAAAAGCCCTTGAAGAAATCCACACAACCATTATTCAAGATCAAGCCCCGACGGCCCTTGAAGAAAGTGTTCATCCGTTCATCAAACTGTTCATCCTTAGATCAAGCCCCGACGGCCCTTTGGATCAACAACTCATCCACAAACCTACACCCTACGAAGATAGAATCAGAGGACCAAATTTGAGAGAGATCGTAACCCCAAAATCATCAAACAAAAAATATTATTTTGTACACGTTATTCTTGTTTCTTGTTTCAAGGAACTTTCGTGTTCACAAATTTGGCACGCCCGGTGGGATCTCTCTACCTCTCATCTCTATCCTCAAATCATCGAAAAAACACAAATGGCATCAAGAAAGGATCAAGCTGTTCCTGCAATCAAAGCAAAGAACAAGAACATCATCGCCGCAAGTGGTGGTATTTCGGGCATCACAACCCGAAGTAAAGCAAGAGCTCTTTTTGCCGCAGCTTCCACCCCTGCATTAACTCTGTCAAAGGAACAAGAGCACCTGAGGTATGAGCCTGTGATCACCCTAGCCTCGCTAAGGGCATCAAAGGGAGAAAGCTCGAGGAAATACTCAGAGTCCCTACTCTCCGACGCTGATTCGAGCGGCAGTACAACCATGCAAGTCATGACCACTGGAGTAACTTCAATCGAGGAGCAGCTAGCTCAGATGAATGAAGCAATCGCAAAGCTCACACGGACTGTGGAAGAGAAGGACTTGCAGATTGCCGCACTTGTCAGCCAACTAGATGCGCTGCCCGACGTGAAAGTCGACCCAAATGTTGGCCTATTAAAGAAAGAAGACGACGAAGAAGAGGAGCCACCAGCGGAGAAAGTTGAAGAGAAGCCGAAGCTAGACCAAGCAACGGCATTCATGGGATCTCTCTCTATCCAGCAGCTACAGGAGTTGATCGCAAACACTATCAAGACACAATACGAAGGAAGCTCGCATGACTCCGTACTGTACTCAAAGCCTTACTCCAAGAAGATTGATGCTTTGAAAATGCCAAGGGGTTATCAGCCCCCAAAGTTCATGCAGTTCGATGGAAAAGGCAACCCGAAGCAACATGTCGCCCATTTCATTGAAACTTGCAACAATGCTGGGACAGAGGGAGACTACCTCGTCAAACAGTTCGTGCGTTCGTTGAAAAGTAACGCTTTTGACTGGTACACTGACCTTGAACCTGAGTCTATCAACAGTTGGGACCAGCTAGAAAGGGAATTCCTCAACCGTTTCTACAGCACTCGTCGTACTGTAAGCATGCTAGAGCTGACCAGTACGAAACAGTGGAGAGATGAACCTGTCGTCGACTACATAAATAGATGGCGCTCCTTAAGTCTGGATTGCAAAGATCGGCTTTCTGAAACCTCTGCCATTGAGATGTGCGTTCAAGGTATGCACTGGGGGTTACATTACATCCTCCAAGGCATAAAACCAAGAACATTCGAAGAGCTAGCAACTCGTTCCCACGACATGGAGCTGAGTATCGCTAATCACGGGAAAAAGGAGCCGATTACTAACTTCAATAAGGATAAAGTATTCGCTCCAAATATAGACAAGACTGGGAAGAAGCCCGCTAAGGAAGCTTTCACCGTCAACACTACCCCCATCAAGACCTCCTCAGCGCCCATCAAGATCTCCTCCAAGAAGAAAGCGAAGGAGATAAAGACAAGTGAGCCTTCTCGCACCCAAGACAGATACAAGAGCACTTTGAGAGAGTTGGAACAGAAAACATACCCTTTTCCTGACTCTGACATGGCTGCCATGTTAGATGACTTGCTGGAAAAAAAGGTGATTGAGCTACCCGAATGCAAGCGTCCTGAAGAAATGAATCGCACAAACGATCCTAGGTACTGCAAGTACCATCGTATCGTGAGCCATCCTGTTGGCAAGTGCTTCGTTCTTAAAGAACTCATCATGAAGCTAGCACAACAAGGGCAAATTGAGCTCGACCTTGAAGACACGGCCGCAACGCATACCACTACAATTGCGTTTGGATCGTTTAATCCTGTGCCTCTCCAAACGACACCTGACCGTTCCCGTGAATGCTCACGTTGCACGGCACCTCCTGCACAACCATCACTGGAGAGAAACGACCAAGATGCACATGCTGATGATGAAGAAGGATGGATATTGGTAACCTACAAAAAGACAAGGAAACCAAGACCACGAGTCATACAGCCAAAGGTGGAACAAAGAAGAAATCACCACGGCCGCAACAATGCGAAGCCTAAAAGAAACATAAAGCATGATAAGACAACATATGCTGGGGAACCTACGAAGCAGGAGCCACGCATTCCCGTTTCCTTGCGTGAATACTTCCCGAATGACTTTTTCCAACAGTGCACTACTGTGGCCTGTCACATGGTTGAAGTAGAAATAGAAAAGCCCTCAAAAGGCAAAGCTATCGCCACTGAGGTAGAAAAGACCCTCACACCCGAAGAAGGTCTACCAACACACTTTAGCATCGAGGAAGTGCTACCATTGCCAAAAAAGATACGAAGAGCACTAGCAGCAGTCCTGGCAGGTCCCGGCGACCACGAAGTGCAAGAAAGTAACGACGAAGGCGCGAAGCTTCAGCCACATGAATGTGCCACATGTTGTGCCACCCATGACACAATTAACTTCACTGACGAAGACCTACTGCTGGGATCAAAGCCTCACAACCGTCCTCTCTTCGTCTCAGGGTACGTAAGGGAATACAAAGTCAACCGCATGCTTGTGGATGGTGGGTCGGCCATAAACATCATGCCAAAATCAACAATGACCATAATCGGCATCAAGGTGAATGAACTATCCCTAAGCCGTCTGCTGATCCAGGGTTTTAACCAAGGAGGACAAAGGGCGATGGGCACGATCCGAGTAGAGATGACCATTGGTGAGCTCAAATCAAGCACGATATTCCACGTGATTGATGCAAGAACTTCCTACAGCTTGCTCTTAGGAAGACCTTGGATCCACGCAAATGGGGTAGTGCCGTCCACCCTTCACCAATGCCTAAAATTTTACCGAGAAGGAGTGAAGGTGATCCAAGGTGACACTAAGCCATTCACCGAAGCCGAATCACACTTTGCAGACGCCAAGTTCTACATGGACGAAGACATGGTACCCAAAGCTCTTCCGGAAGAGATCAAATCCACGGGCAAAGCAGCACCTAAAAAGCAGGAGTGGCAAGCCATGCCTAAAAAGCAAAAAGAGCAGGCCGTGCCATCTTCAAGCAAAGACGGTGACGAGTTTGCTAAACCTGCAACAACCAAAGAGAGTAGGATGCCGTCAGAAGGACCGAACGCACCCATATTCCGGTATATCCCGATGTCAAGAAGAAAGAATGGTCAATCTCCATTTGAAACTGGAACAAGAAAAGGCGACACACAGTGGCACACGGATAATGTGAAGTTGCTCAAGACGAATGCAGTTTTGCCTCTGACACAGCTAGGGGGTGCTAAGGCCGCAAGACTACCACAAGGCTTCATAAAAGCTCTACCAAAGAAGGTGGAATCAAGCTTTCTTCCAACCAAGAGGACCGAGGAAGGTTTCGACCCAAACGCCTACAAACTCATGTCAAAGGCCAGGTACGACTTCGCTTCTTCTGAGGCGGCTGGAAAGAAGGTTTCAAACACTGTCAATGACAAAGAACGTAACCTCACCAAAACTCAAAAGAAGTTGAAGGAGCATGGTTACGGAGTTGACAACAACAAAGCCGGACTTGGCTTCACACCAAATGCACCCGTGAAGATTTCAAGCAAAGTGAAGAAAGCTAGCGCTCAACACATCAGCG